AAGGATTCAAACAAAAATGACACTATAGCTGTTTTTTTCTTCTTTTTTTTAAAAAAAATTTATAAGTTTTGGCATAATTATTTAGGTCAATTTTGTTCATTAATCAAACTTAATTTTGTACCAAACTTGATTTTATTAGGTTAGTGAAGTTTCGAGTTTTTTACATTATTTTGTTAAAATTAGTGGGTCGATTAGCAGAAATTGAATATATTATAAAAATTGCAAAACTTAGGGTTCAATTGATGAAATTGAAAGTTTATGGAGAAAATTGATACAATTTGCCAAATTTAGGGGTAAAAATGATTTTTTCCCTAAAAAGAGTTGATAGATGTGTAAGGCAATATTGGACTACAGGGCAGAAGTTAATCTGCCTCAATTGCTATGTGGATTTCTTCATCCCTCATCGATGGTGGGGCTTTTTGTGGATTAATGCTGTGAAATGTTTTCTTTCGGAATTATTGTTTGAGAGAAATTTGAGGATCTTTGAAGGAAAGCATAGAGCACTTGGTTGTCTTAATTGTCTTAATTCTGCTAAGTTCAAGTCTTTCATTGGTATTCTCTTATGGATTCCTTTTCGAATTATTCCCCTGTTCTTATTTTTAATAATTGGGGCACTTTTATTAGTCCTTTGTAATTACTTTTTCAGTTTTCTTCATTTCTTTTCACTCTTTCAAGAGTTGTATCATTGAACATTTTGTTCCTTTTTATATCTTCAATGAAAAGTTAGTATCCGGTTAAAAAACAAAAATATATATATACATGTTGATATCGAAAAGGGTGTGGAGAAGATAATAGAAAATGAAAGAAAAGACCTCTAACGATAACATCCCAAAGCCATAATGGGAGAGTATTGGAAGACTTAATTTTCAACCTCACTCTAATAGCTCCATAGCATCCAGCGTTAAGGCAAAGATTCAAGAAAGACGTATACAGTACACGAACCTGAGACTTGATAATTTCACGTTCACTCTCTAAAGCATCAGAAGCAACAAGTTCCTTTGTCAAGAACAATGGTTTTGCGGCCACTATATGCATTGCTAATTCTGATCCAACACGTTGAAGAGCATCTGATTTTGAATTACCGCCCTCTACTTCAAGAGATAGAATTCCAGCAATACGACCCAAACCTGGAAATTACACCAAATTAAGGTTAAGATAAAGAAAAGTATCAAACTTGGTCCACTCTAATTTTTCCATTTGCAGAATGTCATTTAGTTGACATAAAGAAGAAAAAAAAACCAGTCTTAATTGTATCTATGCACAAAATTCATGAAGTTGAAGCAAATTATCAAAGAAAAGAAGGCTAGGAGCCGCTCCAAGTATTCAACTATCCATGAAGTGACCATAATTGGACTAAGTGCAAAAGCATGCACCATGAATTATATGTGTGTGTGTGTGTTTTTGAAATTGAAATACCTAAATGTCAGTCAACCAAGGAAAAATAAATATATGTATTTTTTTTTTTTTGAAAAGATAATTTCATTGATGTAT